AAAAAAAAAAAAAAAGGAACCTAGACTAGGCATCTCTGCCACTTACTGAGGTACAGGCCTGGAACAGATTGTCTTTGTTTTCCTCATAGCATGGGACTCGTAATCATAATAGAACTACTTCCAGGCGGTGGTGGGAATTACATTGCTTAGTGTGTATAAAGTGCCTGGCACACAGCGAGCAGTTGCTTTTTGCATGTTGCTAATTTAAATACTATTTATAAGGTTAGCATGGGCGTTTCTTTAATAGACCACTGGGTGGTTTTATTTTTTTTTATTTTAATCAACATTTCAAAAATCACTTTTGGATTTAAAGTTTTAACTGAACATGGTAAGCTGCTATTGTTAAATGTCTTTAACTCCCATAGAGTGGAAAGGAATTACCAAGAAGCATGAGAATGAAGTTGCTCAGAATGGAGGGGCAGAAAGCTCACATGCAGAACCAGTGTCACCCATCCCCAAGCCTTTGCCGGTGCCCGTCCCTCCTATTCCCGTCCCCGCGCCCATCACAGTACCTCCTCCACAGGTGAGAGGGGCGGGGCGTTCTTTCGACTTCCACGTTTCTGAAATAAACCTTCCAGATCTTACGTAGATGTATGTCTGCATTCATAGTCAGAGACCCGAGTCATAAATGTGGGTTATTTGTCATATTTTGATATGTCCAACCTGTTGCTTATAAGCTCTGTAGCACATTTTTAAATAATGTTAATGAAACCAGAATGCGTTCATATTGCCTTCCATCTGCCTAATTACAGAATACCTTACACTAGGGCAGTGATGGCGAACCTATGACACGCGTGTCAGAGGTGACACGCGAACTCATTTTTTTGATTGATTTTTCTTTGTTAAATGGCATTTAAATATATAAAATAAATATCAAAAATATAAACCTTTGTTTTACTATGGTTGCAAATATCAAAAAATTTCTATATGTGACACAGCACCAGAGTTAAGTTAGGGTTTTTCAAAATGCAGACACGCCGAGCTCAAAAGGTTCGCCATCACTGCACTAGTGTGTGTCAGACCTGAGGTGCAAACCCGTTGGTTTCTTCTATTCTTTTTACTCTCACTTTATTTTCATATCGGATCTTTGTTCTTCATGGACTTAGGCTCTGAGGGAGCTGGATTCATACCCGACAAGCAGCTGTTTCGAGGGAAAGATGTTTCTAAATCTTTGGTTTGGGTGGTGCGGTCATGATTTTTTTTTAAATAAATTGAGTGCCATTTAACATGAAGGTTAGTCTTAGCGAGTCTGCTGTCCTGTTACTTCAGAGAAAGGGCTGGTTCTGGTAGATGAGAGCTTGAATCCCAGCTCCATTGACCTTGAGCAGATCACCGACCCCCAAGCACCCCTTCCCTGTCTGTGAATGTGCAGGTGCCCTCTCCTGGCCTTGGCCTTCCTCTGTCAGAGCGGGTGAGGGCTAAACGAGGCGCGTTCAACACTCGCAGGTTTCCTGTTACCGAATCTCCACAGAAAACCTTTGGTCCTCAAACTTTTTAAACAGGGGGCCAGTTCACTGTCCCTCAGACCGCTGGAGGGCCGGACTATAGTTTAAAAAAAAAACTATGAACAAATTCCTATGCACACTGCACATATCTTATTTTGAAGTAAAAAAACAAAATGGAAACAAATACAATATTTGTATTTGCATGTGGTCCGCGGGCCGTAGTTTGAGGACCCCTGGTTTAAATTGTAAATAGCTGACCCCGGTTTCCATATGATCCACTAGATTTTTCTCGTCTTTCAGTACCTTCCTTACTCTGTTTCTTACCGTAAGTCCCCCAGGTGAATCCGCACTAACACAGAGTGGGGTTCCTGGCCTCTTCAGCTGTGATAGTTTACAAGTGGACTTCCTAAGTGGTCACTCTGTAGTCGACCTGTTAGATATGCCCTTCAGTGTAGATTGTAAATAAGATTCAAGTATGTCAGCATTCATTTAAGAAATCCGACTCATTTGTTAAAATTGTTCATACTTTTTTTTTTAAACAATAGCAAATATTTATTTGTTGGGTGTTTATTAAGTGCCAGACACTAGCACTTAACATGCATTAACTTTTCAATCCCCATGAGGATTGAGGTTGGCACTTTCCCATTTTACAGATAAATAAACTGAGGTCTAGAGAGGGTCCGCTTGCTCAGGTCACAGAGCCCGCCCAGCGGTTTGACTCTGAGATCCCATCACCGTGGAATTGGTGGGGGAGCTTTTCGTAGGTTACGTTCTCAGACTTACTGGCGGATCATGGGACATCGTTTCAGCAGGGCACATTCTGCCAGGTCACCAGCCGACGCTGGGAGGCACAGTGTGGATCTGCTGTCATAAAGCAGAGAGCACACTGGGTTTCTGTCGTTTGGGGCAGGTACAGATTACCATCTGTTTTCTAATTTACTCACGTAATAAGAACCAATTTGGAAACGTCTGTTTTTTCAACAAGGTATTTGCTTTGTCTCTGCTCACTACGTAGGAGGGAGGGTGGCTAGATGGGTGGCTTCATCTTTCTTCCTTCCTCTCCAGGTCCCCCCACATCAGCCAGGGCCTCCTGTGGTTGGTGCTCTCCAGCCGCCCACGTTCACGCCGCCTCTGGGAATTCCGCCGCCGGGCTTCGGTCCTGGCGTTCCTCCGCCGCCTCCTCCTCCACCCTTTTTACGCCCAGGATTCAACCCCATGCATTTACCACCAGGTACACCAAGTTGTTTGAGAAGACATTGTTTTTGAGTGTGAGATGAAGTGAGGTAGCAAAAGTGACTATTTTTCTCATTCTAGGTTTTCTTCCTCCCGGACCCCCACCTCCTATAACTCCACCCGTGTCCATTCCTCCTCCTCACACTCCACCAATGAGCATCCCAAACTGTAAGCACGTTTCCTTTGTGTCCAGTTCTCCTTGGAGTCGGGACGGAGGGAGATGGGTTAGTACTAGGTGTAGACGTGGCCGGGAGAGAATTAGCTGCTCAGCGTCACATGTCGATGTGATTATATCCCTTAGCTACTATCGCTGGTAGAAGCGAAGACCCCACCAAAGACTTACCTATTGGAAATCCCATTCCAACAGTGGTGTCTGGGGCTAGAGGAAACGCCGAGTCTGGTGACGGTGTGAAAATGTACGGCTCTGCCGCGCCGCCCGCCGCGCCCACGAGTCTGCCCACCCCTCCGGTCACCCAGCCTGTCTCGCTTCTGGGTAAGTGCCTTTTTCTAGCATCCGTTTTTATTCCTCTCCCAAGTTGAGTGTTTTTCTTAAACTGGTAATTTCGGTAAAATCTTCTCTGAGGCTGCTGTTTTCTTGGAGGAAGATCTCCCTCTTCAATGAGTGTGTGCTCTTGGTCTTTACCGAGAGTCGTCTGGAGACCGCCTCCGTGGGGGAATTTTGTCTGTCTGTCTTGAATGAACGTTCGGGGCTGCACATCTTACTTTGGTATCGGAAAGTGATTGATCTCTGGGAAGGGGACTTGGTAAAAGTCCAAGATTGGCATAACGCCAGGTGTCCTAGCTTTATGAGAGAACGTTTCTTTGACAGCGCAGGTTTTTTCCCTGTGTGGACCAGTCTTTATATCTTTAAAAACCCTGGACTTGGTATCATTCTTTGTGGGCTAGCAAAGATCATGGTCTTCGATACGTGCCAGTAAAGTGGCTTTGCTGCCTGCGTAGCAGGCCCCTCCGTTCCCTCCTGCTAAGTTCTCTGTGCTCGGCTGACAATGGGACCCTGTGGCTAAGGAAGAGGGTGACACTGTGCACAGCTGGGAGGCCTTGGCCTGGCTTCCTTGAGTCACAAATGGATACATCGTGTCCTTGTCAGACTGACCACCTTCTAATGAATACACTGCTGCCCGGCAGTGGTGCTGCCCAGTATAATTAACCCCGACTCTCCCAGTGGGCGGCCACTCCGTCCTCCGGGTCCAGCCCGCGAGCCCTGTGTTCTCGGAGGGGAGGGTGTGTCCTCACGTGTGCGTCCATCTCGCCTGTAGGAAGGGCGCACTGGCCCTCTGGCGGTGGGGCTGCGGGGTGGGCGGCGATGCAGGACTTTTACTCTGACCTACACCTTTCAGGACTGCTGGGAACTTGCACTTGGTGCCTGTACTACATTTATCATTAAAATCCGTTTCTTTTTAAATGGCTTGCTGTCTTCTGGCCTCTCCAAGACTGAGTTTTGGCTGATAATAAACTTGACTTTTATTTCCATTAGCACACAGACTCAGTAATAAATAGTAAAAGAGGATGTGGGATTAAAATTTGTCACAAATACTGTAGCGGTCATCATCATAATGATGGCAAATGACTTGTTTAATGAGGGGATTGCTCAAGAGGCCTGTGCCCTGGAAGTCATGTAATAGGAGGAACGCTGGACTGGCAGCTGGGAAATTAACATCTGTGCATCTCAGTTTTGTTATGTTTTGTCTGTTTTGTTTTCATATTTGTAATAAGATGGTTCACAAGAATCACAGAATCTGAGTTGGATAGACTTTGCTGATCAACCCCTTTCTCCCACCCCCTCGCCTGCTGAGATTCTGTGTGAAATGAAATGTTCTAGTCTCGTGCCCATGGATGCTGGGCCCGGAGGCCATTTACAGAAGCATGTGTGCACTCACGCTTCTCTTCTGGGGTTAACTGAGCGAGAGGATCCCATTCTTTCCCAGTCTGACACCCACCACTTTCCAACGTCCTAGAAGCATAAGGAGCCTGCCTCTGGCCTAACCTTTAGGTCTTCAAGATTCTGCTCTTGCCCTGGTGGTTTGGCGCAGAATGTGGACCAAAGGGTCCCGGGTTCGATTCCAGTCAAGGGCACATACCTCAATTGCAGACTTCTCTCACATCGATATTTCTGTCTTTCCTTCTCTCTTCCACTCTCCCTAAAATCAACGGAAAAATACCCTCAGGTGAGGATTAAAAAAAAAAAAAAAGATTCTGCCCTTTATTTCTTACCGCTACTAAAATGTGTCATTTAAACTCTGCATCCTACATGTGAGATAAAACACGGATCAAAAGTTTGGTGCGCTTAAAAAATAAAATTAGTAAGCTAAGCATCGCTAGAAAAATAAATTTCTTAGCGTTTATTGTTGCCTGACATACCTATTTGGATGCCCATCTGTTCATCCCCCCGCCCCCGGCATCCCCACTGGGACGGACGCTCTGAGAGAAGGGACGTTGGTCGCATCAGCAGGCGGGTGGCCTGTCTTCAGGGCCCTGCTCTTCGCACTTTACCCATGTGATCGTCATGACTTTTCAAACTCAGTTTAGAAATTGAAGACGATTCCAAATCTGGAAAGGTTAAAATTTGACATAAAAATGAAAACTTGTTAAAATAAGTAGTTTTTCCTAAAATGCCGTTTCAGTCAGAAGGAAAACCTCCCATGTCCCTGCGATTGGGAGGCTCCAAAAGACGTCCCCTGAGTGTGACCTTCCAGAGGAACGGGGCTTGTAGTGTCTGTTCAGGGAGGGGAGACTCACCCACGCCGCCCGGGGCTAGAGGAAGGCAGGGTCTGCGGGCGCCCGAGGGGCAGCGACGGGCACGGCTGGTCTTTGCCCGATGGTGGACGGCTGGGCCCTAGGTCTGCACGCTCCTCTCTGCCCTCCTGTCCTGTCATGAGAATGGAAAGAAGTAGGCGCAGTGCCAGAAAATTAATCCTAGGAGTAAGTCACGTGATGCTCACTGCAGTCCTGCGTGGGAAAGGAGAATAAAGACGACAAGCCGCGTGTTGGGATGACGTCGGGGGGCAAATGTACGTAAAACCACTAACACCGGGGGGTGCACGGGCCATACTGCGAACCCTCACGGGGTGCTGCTCTGCAGCCCTGAAGTCCTTTCCTTTACCTGTGGCTCGTGTACCTGCTGCATGTCTGGCAAAGTGGACACACTTTTTAGAGCAGTGGTTCTCCACCTTCTGGCCCTTTAAACACAGTTCCTCATGTTGTGGCCCAACCATAAAATTATTTTCGTTGCTACTTCATAACTGTAATGTTGCTACTGTTATGAATCGTCATGTAAATATCTGATATGCAGGATGGTCTTAGGCGACCCCTGTGAAAGGGTCATTCGACCCCCCAAAGGGGTCGCGACCCACAGGTTGAGAACCGCTGATTTAGGGGGTGGACATGTGTCTTACTTGGTTGCCTCAGGTGGTTTCCGGTGGACCAGGCCAGACCGCAGGTTCCCACGCACAGTGTTGCCGATGCGGCCGCTGGCTCCCTGAGAAAGCGTGTGTGTTGGTCGTAGCACAGCCTGATACTTGTATTCTTCCCAGTAATGACGCTCAAGTCATTTTACAGTGATGGTGAATGTATCATTGAGAGACTTAACTAACCAAGATCTTAATTTCTGAAATAGAGCAGCAGTAGTTGTAAGTAGCAGGGGCCAGGCAGATGGTCAACAGGTCTCCCCCTGTCTGCGGTGGGCAATTCCCTGGCGAGAGGCAGTGGTGCTTTATGGGTGGTTTGGCTTGAAGGATTTCTGATCATCAGACTTACACATGGTGTTAGTTTGGGACCATGGCTGCCTGCTTGGGCGGGGGGCCGGGGGGGTTGCCCACACGGCCGCATGGTGGAGAACTGAACCTCCATCTTTTAAGAGTCTGAATGTTTTGGTAACTGGCAATCTGAAAATATAGAAGTATTTGGTACACAGTAATATAATAATTCATTATGACTCACTTAAAGAAATTCATTCTTAGTCCCCACGGTTCATGGCAGCTAGTGCACAGCTGGTTCGGTGAGAGCTGAGGCTAAGCCTAGCGGTGCTGGCCAGTTAGAGGGATGTGGAGGAGGGTGGCAGTGAGTTCATTCTCTTTACTGTGTAAGTGTCGATGTTTACTTTTGTGTAACATGTATCTATAATGTTGTGTACAGCATATTTTTATTAAAAAGTTCACTGTAAATGTGAAATTTGGGTTACTGTGGTGTTCCAAACAATAAAAAACATGCAAAAAAAGTTTGTTTGTGTTACATATCTCTACCTTTACCAATATATGTAAAATGCCTTTTCAAGGAAAAATTACTCTAAGGTGGACTCGTTCCTTTGGTGGAAAATAAAGCCTCTTTTCCTGCCACATGCATTTAATGATGAATATACAGAGTCTCCCCAGCTTTGTTGCCCTGCTGTGGGTGGTGGTGGCATTGACACATAAGAACTGGGTATTTGGGGGACTGCTTCCTACTCACCCATCATTTTGTTACCAAAGACTTAAAGCAGAAGGCAGAGCGGGGTGGGCGCAGCCCAGGGCCCGATGTGGGCAGGCTTGCGGTCTCGTGCTCTCACGTGGCCACATTGAGCACAGGGGTTGATATTTTCCCATTTGGACACTTGAAGGAATTATGTGGACAAAATTGGTTTGCAGATTGTTATACTTAAACAGCTGTGTTTGCTTTTTTGCAATCTACACTAATAAAAGAGAAAGATGCAAATGGACCGTACCTTCGCAACACCCACCAGCCAATCAGGAGTGACTATGCAAATTAACCCAACAAAGATGGCGGGTTAATTTGCATACACAGCCACTCTGGGCCGTAGTGAAGGCGGTGCCAGCAGCCAGGGGAAGGAAGGCCCATTCTTGCACGAATCTTCATGCATTGGGCCTCTAGTCTATTATAGCTATTTAAACTGCCTAAAAGGTAGATAATTTTACCACTGACTTCTGTAGCTAACTTTAAAATTGGTATTTGATTTGTAGTGATTTTACTTAGATTTCTGTGCCCAGAATTTTCTTATAGTTACTAATTTTTAACATTTGAATCTGAACATTAAAGCAGGAATGTACTAGTGAGAATAACTTCAAAGGAAATGAAGACGTGCCCAGAACGTTTTTTTAATGATAACATGGAATTTTCTAAATGTAATTTTTGCATTTTACTAGTTTTTCTTGTGAATTTTGCTGTGATGTTTGGTTCTATTAAAGTGTCAGCTAGAGGCCCTACCAGGTGCTGGATTGGCACCAACAGAAGCCTGTGGGCGATCCGAGAAAGGCGCTTCCCTTTGGGGAGCTTTCAGTGTGCATCACGCTCCATCGGTGTGATGTGTGGAATGGCTCCCCTTGCTCATCGCAGAGCCGTCCACTCAGTGTCGCCATCCTCACAGGTCATTAATAGCAGTTGTTCCACAGCAGGCATTGGCCGTGGACATGGATTTATGCACGAATACACTGCATTTTCTCATAAGGTGAAGCACTTCAAACAGGACAAACCCAGGGGAGGGGGTCCTGTGCAAACCTGCACGCCCACACTCACCTCTGGGGCAGGCCTGGGCCCGGGGAGCGGGGAGGGGCGGGAGCGGTGGCTGGCGGCTTTGTTAGGCAGCTGTTGCCGTGAGGAACTTCAGGTAAGATTTGTTTTGCCCGTCGACAGTGAAAACAGTCATCCAGTGGTGGGTTCACTGTGTACGTCACGCTTCTTCATTCTGGTGGCCCAGCTCTGACATTGAAGTCAGAGCTGTGATGCTGTGCTGATCATAGTAAGTAGCGATCACTGCAGTGCACAGACTGCGATTCCAGGAAGCAGCCCGGTGAGCAGAGGGGACTGAGCAGACAAAACCCATCGCACATTATTTTGTACAAAACCCGGGTCATTTTAAAGTGATAATAGTCTTTGATTTCTCTTTATTTGACATTCTGCTTCTCATGCATTAGATTTTAATCAAAAGTGTACCTTATGCTAAAAATAGATCTCAGTATACTGCATTATAATTATCGAAAACTCAAATTTCTCTTAAAAATTTAACATTCTAAGGACAATTTAATAATCTCATATAATCTAAAATGTGCTTTAATTCTTTAAAACTTAGCTCCTTATTCTTCTGTCTGTGCCTTCTATAGAAATGCCTGGGAGTCAGATATGCCTTAAACGTATTAATTGGTAAATCCAGGCAAAGAAGGCAACATGTGGGTTGCACTGTTTCCGACTTCTGAAGTGCAGAGTGAAGGACACGGATGAACCCACAGCCTGACCCGGGATCTCCGGGCCTCGGGGGAGAGCGGGAATTTTGTGTTAGGTTCGTGCGAAATGCCACGGTGCCGTTCTGTTGGATCAACTCAGAACAGGGAGAGCTGCCGCCGGGCCAGCCAAGGGGCTGTGAGGAACATGCCGCCTTTCCAGGCCCAGGCCCTGCGGGGCTGTGGGGGGGCCTTGCTGCCCTGGGCGAGGCCTGGCCTTCCCCTCGAGCTGGGTCGTGGCCTCCGCCACCACCGTCCACGGCACACTCAGCGCGTACCTGTTCAACACCTGTCTGAGCCGGCCACGGCCTGTCTCCCTGGAACCGTGGTCCCGGAGACGATGATGTGAAGAGAGGGAGCAGGGAGCCGTCAGGGTGGGACGCTGTTCTACACGGTGCGTGAGGAGGGGTGTGGAGACGTGATAGAGGGACGAGCCTGCTGAACACGGGAGGGTTTCGGGTAGAGAAACAGCAGAGGGCCTGGTGGAGAAGGCGCTCGGCTTGTCTGAGGGGCCACAGGGGCAGTGA